AGACGCGCTCACCCCGCGCTCGGACAGTCAGGCCCCGCCGGGACCCTACCACTGAGGTAAATGGCGGCCGCGGAGAAAAACCCGGAAGTCCCGCCCACATACGGGAGCTTCCGGAAATGCTCCCCTCTCCCGGACCGTCATTGGCCAGCGTCCGCGTCAGGTTCATGAAACACAGCCTTCTGGGTAATGTAGTTCGCCCGCCTCCGTCTAGCCCACGACGCGAGGGCCCGACGCGCCTTAACCAGGAAGTCGTTCTTCGAGGTAAAGGCGCACCGGCTGCCGAAGTGGAGGCGGAATGGAGGCCCTGGAGGCGGGGAACTTCGCCCGGGTTCCGGGCCTGGTCCCTGGGCTCAGCTGGCGCCTCCCCCGGACCTACTACCTCCTCCCCAGGTTCGCTCCAGGAGTGACAGCTACGTGAAACGTCACTAAAAACCCCTCCTGATGCCAAAGCCGGTTTGGCTCAGTGGATAGAGCGTCGGCCTACGGACTGAGAGGTTCCGGGTTCGATTACGGTCAAGGGCATGTACCAGGGTTGCGGGCACATCCCCAGTTAGAGATGTGCAGGAGGCAGCTGATCCATGTTTCTCTCTCATTGATGTTTCTAACTCTCTATTTTTCTCCTTTCCTCTCTGTAAAAAATCAATAAAATATATCTTAAAAAAAGGATACATAGGCATGTTATAAACATCGAAAAATGAAGGTGTATAAATGCTATTGGGATGGTTTAGGTGTCCAGGATTGCTATACATTTTTTCAACTTGTTGTTTTGTTGCTGTTGTGTTTTTAAAAAGAGAGAGGAAGGGTAAAAAAGAGAGAGGAAAGGAGAGAGAAACATCAATCTGAGAAACATCTACCAGTTGCCTCCCATATGCACCCCGACCGGGGATCGAACCCACAAGCTGGGTATGTGGCCTGACCAGGCATCAACCCGCCACCTTCCGGTGCCTGGAACAAGGCGCTCAACCCACTGAGCTACACCAGCTGGGGCAACATTTTTAATTTTTTTTTATGTCTAGACACGGAATAATGAGTTTATTCATGATAATCAAGCCAACGAAAGTGTCGTGTGAAGAACTTGCAAAGGTGTGCAGGGGGGGTTCTACAACGTCTACACTGTAAAGTGATATTGGTAGAAGATTTTAGAATCGTGAAAACCATTCCAGAGCCTGGGAGCCTCTCATCTGACGTGGCATACGCCTTATGAAAAGTACATTCGCAGAAGAAAAGGCGTCCGCTCTCCCTGCCTGCCTGCTTTCTCAGGTGTGTGCGTCTCCCACACCCCAAGGGATCCTATGGGGCTTGCAACCCTGGTGAGCGCAGTTACCCCTGACTCTGGCCCCTGGACCCCGCTTTCTCCCACTTCTTAGTGAGCCAGAGTGGCCCAGCCGAGGCCCATTTCCCCACCTCGTCCCTCTCCTGTGGCTTCCTTATCCTAGGCCCTTCCTGTGTCGCTGTCCCCAGCTTTTTTTTTGTTTTTAAAGGGTAAGGTCCTTCTTTATATATTTACTAGAGGTCCGGTGCACAAAAAATCATGCACTCCGGGGAGGGGGGATGAGGACACACTTGTAATACCTTAACCAATAAAGAAATTAAAGATAAAAAAAAAAGATGTCAAATCCCAGCGGGGCCTCCAAAAAAAAAAAGATGTCAATATTAAAAAAATAAAGCTTGGAAACCAATCAAATAAAAAAATCAAATTAATATAATAAAATAGAACAATTGGTATAAAAGCAGCAATTAAGGAATCAGAAGCATGTGTACTTTGTGGGGGATTCGGTTAAGCCGGGAAGAGCCGGAGTGAGCAGGGCAGAGGCATCTAGTGTGTCTGCTGGACTTGGCCTGCGTGGCGAACCTTTTGAGCTCGGCGTGTCAGCATTTGGAAAAACCCTAACTTAACTCTGGTGCCGTGTCACCTATAGAAATTTTTTGATATTTGCAACCATAGCAAAACAAAGACTTCTATTTTTGATATTTATTTTATATATTTAAATGCCATTGAACAAAGAAAAATCAACCAGAAAAATGAGTTTGCGTGTCACCTCTGACACCTGTGTCCTAATTCCCCATCGCTGGCCTAAAATGACCTCCTACTGGTTGGCTTTTATCGCCATCTCGTGGCTGCACGGCGGAACTGCCACAATTTCACAAAACACGGGAGGCATTTGCCTGCCACCAGCATTCGCAGACACAGGCTCCCACGTCAAGACAAGATAACACGATGATCAGAGGAGGCGTTTGTGTCCAGGGATGCGGGGTTACTGTTTTCTCCTAAATGCACAGACAGGAAAGGCAGGGAAAGGCAATTACTGTCCCAGGCGCTGGGCGTACCCTGCAGCTGATGGCTGCGATGCTTCCTCGCACAACCAGAGGATGTTTTTTATTCTAAAAAAGGGAGCGAGTTCTGGCTGGGTCGCTTGGTTAGAGCGTGGACCCCATATGCCAAGGTCGTGGGTTCCATCCCCCATCAGGGCACTTGCAAGAATCAACCAGCGCATGCATGAGTCGGTGCAACAACAAACCGATGCTGCTCTCGCCCCTCCTCTCTCTCTCTCTCAAATCAATAAGTTAAAGAAAAAGAAGGGCCCTAACCGGTATGGCTCAGTGGATAGAGCATCGGCCTGTGGACTCAAGGGTCCCAGGTTCGATTCCGGTCAAGGGCATGTACCTTGGTTGCGGGCACATCCCCAGTAGGAGATGTGCAGGAGGCAGCTGATCGATGTTTCTCTCTCACTGATGTTTCTAGCTCTCTATCCCTCTCCCTTCCTCTCTGTAAAAAATCAATACGATATATTTTTCAAAAAAATAAAAAATAAATAAAAAGAAGGAATGGGAGAGAGAAAGAGTGAGTCCCAGCTGGATGGCTCAGTTGGTTACAGCATCGTCCCTGTGGGCCAAGGTTCTTTCTAAAATCTTTATTGTTGAG